GGTGCAGCTGAGTAGTGGCTTTGTGAATGCCAGTGGGCACATAAATGTTGGACTTAAGTGCCTAACTGACCCGTTAGGTGCCAAAGTCCTGCCTTCTGAATCTAGCCCATTAGAACGTCAATAGGGTCATTCTGGATTTACACCGAGGATGTAACTGAAGGCAGAGTTTGGTCATTTGTATCTATAACAGCATCCTCCAGTGACTAGGGCACTGGTCTGGGAATTAGCAGGCAGGTGCCCTTGCCAAGTCATTTCACCTCTCTTGGCTTTTGTTTCTCCATCTGTAAAATGGGAATAATGAGCTTTTCCATGGTAAAGTACTTTGAGGCCTACTGATAAAAAGCCAGTAAGTATTATTGGAAATTATAGCCGCCAGTTTGAGAATATTGCAAAATTGATACAGGTTTAGGTTTAGAACCCATTTAGAACAGTGGGTAAGATCATAACGTAGCTGATTCAAAACAGGGTAAGTAAAATCTGCCCTGAGAAGCCATCATTGCTTTTCTGTGCTCAAGTATTTTTTATTTTACTTTCACTAATCAATCAGTCTGACTCATACTGAGACACATACATGAGTATAATTACCAATTTAAATAAATGATTGGCTAGCTGGGAATTTGGGTGTGATCACTGATGTCTGGCTTTTCTCCCCCTTGGTATATGCCTCCCCCTCTTTCTCTGGGGCCCATCATGCATTCCATAGCATTGTCTGATCAGGGATTTAAATTTCTCTGCAGTGAATCCACCAGCACTGCCCTGTCATTGCAGTTAGTCACACCTTCTCAGTATGTTATAAGCCTCCTGACATCTCATCTCACCAGTTCGTTACTATAGAGTCAGAAACAAAGCTAACCCACAAACATCACCCCCTCCCCAAAAAAACAAGAGAAAGTTGGTAGCAGGCACTGTGGTTGGTCAGGCCTTGGCAGCATGTGCAGTAATATAAAAAAATAGATGGTTTACTGTAACATTAACTAACTGCTAAACATATGCTTGAAGTGCTTTGCTGCAGGTGGGCCAAAGTTCTTTTGAGCTGGGACAGCACCTCCCTCTGCCCATGAACAGCTCTTAGCATGTTGTAGTAAGAGCTACAAAAGTGGGTACGTGGCAGGAGTTAGAATGAAGAACACTGGCTCACATAATCCCAGTCAAAACCAACTATCCCCAGTTTCAGACGAGATGAGAGAGAGGGAGCAAGAAGAAAATCAATGTGGATGTATGTGAGACAAGTCCTGATGCATGTGCGGCACAGGACTGCCTGCATATGCCTTCTCTGCGAACCTTACTCATGTTGCATAGCACTCACATGAATAATCCCATTGAACTGACTGCAAAAGCAACCTTCTAGCTTTTGTATGTGGCACACGGCAGTTGCTGAGTTTAGGGAGCTGAATTAATAGGCACATTAGGAAGCATTTGTTTCTCTTCCTTGGCGTGTTTCTGGGAGTGCTTACTCCTTCTGTCTTTAGCAGTATGGCTAACTGCTCCTGGGGAGAAAAAAATACTTGGGTGTGTTTACTCTAAACTTTACAGGTAATGCCTGTGCAGCTAACCCACCAGAAACAGTACACTGACATCCACAAATAGTATGTAGATTATGGGCCATCACTGAGAGTTTCACCCCAGACCCTGACTGGTGTAATACATATAACAACCAGCAGCCATAACAACAATGGACAGCTATCGTCGTAATAAGAGGCTGATCAATAATTCATTTGCTATTCCTTGCACATTTAATCATGATAAATGAATGGGGTTTTAATGTGGCACTAACATGCGTGTCCCTGGGAATTTAACAATCAATGTACCATTATTTTAAAGTCCAGCTGTCCTCGCTTCGCAGACACTCAGAAAACATCAGAGTTGTTCTACAAAACCCAACAGAAATAGGGCAATACTTGGAAAGCTTTGAAGTTAATCTGCCGAACCATGACCCCCTTTTTAACCAGTCCATTCCATTCCATTTGTGACCAAGAAAGACTAATCATGTATTTGGGGGATACCAATTCCTTCTTCTTTATTAGCCATAAAGAACGGCATATGTTCAGGCTGTTGAAACCTCTGAACTCAACAAATTAAAAAGTGAGTGTTAGAGTTCTATTGGCAGTATACCAACTTACAGACAAAAGCAAGGAAAAGCTGTAATGTTGCTCTTAACTAACCTATTACACTGATTTCAGATTAGCAGCCATGTTAGTCTGTATCCACAAAAAGAACAGGAGTACTTGTGGCACCTTAGAGACTAACAAATTTATTAGAGCATAAGCTTTCGTGGACTACAGCCCACTTCTTCGGATGCATATAGAGTGGAACATATATTGAGGAGATATATATACACACACTGAGATATTAGATGTATTCAAAAATAGCAAGCACTGTGGAGCGATATACTTGAATAGTTTTTGTATTTGAAATTGCTAAATCATTTAGAGCAATTGCAATGTCCATCATTCATCTTCCCCTCCTATGACAAAACCTGCAGGAGGGACTTGGGGACAGATAAGTATCCCTATGTGGATTTCTTCTACATCATCATAGCAGGGGAGAAGGGTATGCAAGCTCCAGGAAACGAATATAGGGCCTGCATCCAAAGTGATGGATCCCCTCTCCAGGGCTGGGGAGAGCTGCATGGAGGCCCTATGCTTTCGCATAGGCTCTCAGCACCACTCCCTGGCTCCCTTGGAGAGGCACTAACAGGGACGTCCCCACCCTAGCTGTGGCAGTCCCCAGTTCCCAGGTTTGTCTGTGTGGGAAGGGATGTGTGATGGCTGCTCCAAAGAAGACTTAATACAGACCCTGGTTGAAATCTGCTCTAATATATGCTAGCTGCTGACATCTCCATGGAGCTGACACAATTGCTGGAGATCACTGGGGCACAGGGAAGCCCTGGCCACATCCCTTTCCCCTAGAGCATAGACATAATCACTGCACAGATCGCTGGAAGGGAGGATTGGTCTAGCAGCCATTATGTTGCCAGAAGATCCCTCAAGAAATGGCAAGCTCTGCGGCCTTTAGGGCTACTTTACACCAGCAGCGTAGCACAAATCAGCGGCAGCACAGCAGAGAACCCAACCCTCTGATTTTAGAGCTTTTTTTTTTTAAACTATGCACCATAAGTTGGGCATAAGGCACTTTGCTGTTGGCATTGATCCAACTAAGAATTTGTTCTTTCTTGTTTCATCTGGAGTCAAATGAAAGATTTATTGGATTTAACTGCATTGCAAACAATATTTATAAACTTCTACCTTTATCTCGCTTACTTTTAAAGTGCTATCTTTTTGTCCTTGGCTGTTCTAAATTATTAACATATCCTACAGTGTGCTCAAGATAAGAGAACCTTCAGCTTTTATTCTCTCACCCTTTAGTCAAGCCAGTTTTGCTGTTTCTCACTGGATATCTTTGATCAGCCTGCTTGTTGGATGCTAAGCTACAGGGACACCACAGCTGAGAAAGAAAACAGGGAGGGAGCCAGCCCTTTCAAGAATCCCTAGTGATCAGCAAGCACAAATCCCACCAGATTCAGAACTTTCTGGTGATCTAGGCAGATCATTTGGATTTGTACAAGCATAGGGCCAGGTTGTGGTGCTGCTCATCTTTTATGTGAAGGGTAGTACGTTTATAAATAGTTTAATAAATTATTACTAGCTGTTATAGTTGGACTCTGTAACAATTGAACATTTAGCATGTTAATCATTCATTGATGCTTTCTAAACTAATTTTGAATGTACCCTTAATGTAAAGTGTCACCATGATACCTTTATTCACAAGAGTAGTACCTTACTCCACAAATAGCCTCACTGATGTCGATGGGATTATTCATGATGCAAGGTACTATTCAAAGTTAGGTTCTCACAATGTGACCCACAAAAAGTATTAGAGAGACAAGGTGGGTGTGGTAATATCTTTTATTGGAGCAATTATTATCTCACCCACCTTGTCTCTCTAATATCCTGCGACCGACATGGCTACAACACTGCATGCCAGTACAGAAAGTATAGCAGTGCAGGAGGCATAAGGTCATTGCATTGCCCTCGGCCTGTATGGGTAACCCCCATTGACATCAGTGTGAATTACACTGTGGACTGAAGACAGTAGATGGTCCATACGTGCTAGTTTGCACACAAATTCTATATAGAGATACAGTCATAGATGTAACTTTCACTCCATGCAACTGAAGAAGTGGTTTTTTACCCACGAAAGCTTATGCCCAAATAAATCTGTTAGTCTTTAAGGTGCCACTGGACTCCTTGTTGTTTTTGTGGACACAGACTAACACAGCTACCTCCTGATACTTGAAGTCATAGATGTATCTAATGAGGAGAATGAAGAGGGATGTGTCCCTCCCCTGTATTTTTACTATCCTGTTGATGACCCCTTTAATGTGGTTGCAGCAGGAGTCATGCATTTTCTCTCAATGCTTTTATATAATGCTCATCACCATGATGTCTGGTTTTCCCCCCCCACAACTTTTTAGTGGTTGCACACATATACACAGTATGAATTTAACAGCTCCTATGTGAAAATATAGTGCTGCCTTTATATACAACTTTTGCCAGTGTTCTTGAATCTAGGGTTACCATATTTGAATATTGGAAAAAGAGGACACTCCACGGGGCCCCAGCCCCGCCCCAACTCCCCCCCTTCCCTGCCCCCATTCCAACCCCTTCCCCAAAGTCCCCGCCCCAACTCCGCCCCCTCCCCTGAGCGCCCCGCATTCCCCCTCCTCCCTCCAAGCCACGCAAAACAGCTGCCCGAGCGCTACCGGCTTCACGGTTTGCCGGGCAGCTCGGCTCTTCAGCTGCACAGAACTGAGGTGTCGCAGAGCAACAGCAGCCGCTGCTGCTGAGGGGAATCCGCCTGCAGCTCGCAGCCTGCCAGAGCCCGCTCTAAGGTAAGCCCGGGACTGGGGCAGGGATGCCGGCAAAGCTGGGAGTATTTTCCCGGACATGTTCGGCTTTTTGGAAATTCCCTCCGGATGGGGATTTGAGGACCAAAAAGCCGGACATGTCTGGGAAAATCCAGACGTATGATAACCCTATTGAATCTGATGTTCCTACTGGGTGAAACTTATTTAAAAGAGAGAGCACGCATAAGGGAACCGACATGCATGTGATCAACTTTCTTTACTTGCCATGATAAAGCACAACAGAAGTTTTGTCACAGAGACATTCCACTATGCTGCATTAAACATCCTTCCACACCAAAGGATACACTGTTTCAAATAAATAGCTAAGGAGTTATAGTTATAAACAATTAAAGACAGAAACACCCAAGACGTCACTAAAAATAGACAGATAAAATGCAGATCCCTCTGAAGAGGATGCAACAGTTTGTGTATTACATAGTAATATAGCGCCATCTAGAGGATACTGTGCTTTAAAAAAACCCTAAAAGCAAAACCAGAGAGCCCGATTCTGATTGTACTTATACCAGCGTAAAGCTGAAGTAATTCCACTAGCATTATATCGGTGTAAAGTCAATGCATGTATAATCAGAATTGGGTCCAAACAGCATTATTGGCTGATTTGTATCTAATGCATGTAGACAAACCAATTAATTAGCAAGTTTCTCTCTGTATGCACAACTGACTGGGTATCCCATTACTCCCCACTACAGATAGACTTGATATGAGCGCATAGCATCGCACACATGCATTGTAGGGAGAACACCCCCCATACAACATATGGCATATGAAACAAAGGTCACACACAAGAGCCCATAAAAACTCTGATCCAAAATTTAAGGGACTTCTCAAACTTGCAATGCAGAGCCCTGACATGTTTTATGCTAGAAACATTGGGGCTAGATTTATACTGAAAATTATAGAAGGCAATTGTTGCTGGAGATCATTTTTCCACATATGTTCGACAGAATTAAAATAAGATGTGCATTCACAAACTGAAATTCTAACTACAGCTTCACACAGTCCGGTATCCCTCTGCATTCTAAAGCCATGTACAGAGTTGTCTGAATGGACATGGTCAACATCAGGGCAACAGTGATCTTCCCCTCTCTTCAAATGCAAGTCTGCTGGGGCTAATTCTTTTCCAGGACTATTCCTTGTCCTTTGACTGCAGTGTGTGGAAATATTTATATTATTTTCGGCAAAAGAGTTTATAAATCATTCCAGATGTGCATGTGTAGCTCTGCACAGCTTGAAACTTTGTTCCTCCCACAGCTATGTTCCTTGTTTAAGTTGGGTGATCTCAGAACTCATGAAACTTCCTAAGTAAATAGAGGCTATAAAATGCACTAAACAGAAATGTTAGCTCTTCTAAAGGAAGCCTACAGTTTATGAAAGTAATTGGGGAGTTCCAAATGTATGTTATTTTGTCTTAGAAACAAGTTTTAACTTAAATGCCTGCATTTTTACAGATCTCTAGAGACCGCAAATGAGATCAGAGCCCCTTTGGGGTGGGCAGTGTGCAAACACATGGAGAGAGACAGACCCTCACCCCAAAGAGTTTGCAATCATAATAGAAAAGGCAAACAAAGGATGGGACAGGAAACAAAGGCTCCAAGAGGTGAATTGTCCACAGCATGCAATAGGTAGCAGCAGAGCCAGGAAGAGATCCCAGGTCATTTACGTCCCAGTTCAGTACGCTATCCATCTATCTTAGGTACTTACAATGCCCCTGTGACTGGGCGTGCCTCTGTGGTGTGCCCTCGTGGCCCATCAGGGCACGACTCACCCAGCCACAGGTCTTTGACAGTAGGCCAGCTGTCCTTCCAGCTAAGACACACTTCAGACCTACCCCTTCCAGGCTGCTGAGGTCAAAAGAAATCAGGAACAAGAAACCACAGCTCAAAACTGGGTTTTCTGATGAACGTTCAGTGCGACCCTCCCTTCTATTCAGGGCTTGTCTTCAAACAGTTCATACTTCAGCTGATCTGCCAGGGTCTGGTCGTCCCTTCTAATGGGCCTTGTCTGACTGACAAGCTAGTTCAGTCTCTGGGCTGCAGCCAGGCTTCTCACAGCAAGAGAAGCAGATTTGAGGGAGCTCGGTCTCCTCCTTTTAACTCCCCTCTTCATGCTTCACATTTGCTGCCAGTGTAGTAGGATGGGGCTCATTGGCTCCCCAGGCTCTCATTAACCCTTTCGTTGCCAGTGTGGGGCCTATCTGCTTCATCACAGCCCCCCACCCTCACTGTAATAGCTGAGCACCTAACAATATCTCATGTGTTTATCCTCACAACACTCCTGTGAGGAAGGGAAGTCTATTATCCTCATTGTACAGAGGAGAAGCTGTACTAGATTCTAAATATTTTTCAAAGTTTACCAAATAACTGACATTTCTAATTGATTCCACCACAAACTATCATTTGTTCCCCTTACCAGTCTTCTCTGGCTTTAGGTTCCCCTATGACACACAGTGCACCACTAGTATTAGTTAAATGATAGTAGTACCTAGAAGCCCCAGTCAGGACTGGTACTAGGCATCATACAGACACAGAGCAAAAGGACAGTCCCTGGCTCAAGCAGCTTAGAATCTACAACGTTTGTAAACTCCACCAAAAACTAGATGGTTTTATCGGCCTGACTCTGCAGTCCCTAAGTCAGCAAATCCCCTGCTGAGCTGAATAAGAGAACCTGATTGGGTCTTGAAATCTAGGTAGCATGGATTAAGGCCATAGGCCTTATTTCTTCCTTTATGAATCCTTCCCCTCTTTTTTCACATACCTGTGATTTACCAGACTATTAACCACCAGACTAGTAGGCCTAAACTGAGCTGCCTTTATAACCTAGATAAGGCCACTATTGACAAGCCAGAAAGTTAGGGTTAAGAGACACATTGAGTTCTTTCCCAGAAGCTGTACAACATTCACTCCTTTCTCAGCTAACATTGGTTCAGGGATCACGTATATTAAAGGCTGCATCATACCCTATAAGCATGAAAGGTCAGAGTTAAGGTTACAAGAACAACATTAGCTTTGCCATTTTCTGTTTTTTGAGTGCTTAAAGACAGAACCTTAAAGTGTGGTTTGACTATAAAAATGATTATGGAGGAATGGTCTCTTCTTAATAGATCTGATGCCAAACACACAGAGAGAGCAGATCTTCTGTCTGTAATGACCAACCCATTTTTTACTCCGTTAAGTCCTCTAGAGTGAACACAACTAAGAGAGTGCACTGCAGAGTCTGTTCCATCTCGTGCAGCACCAATAGAGAGATGTAATAAGATCCAACCGGTAACTCCACAGCAAGTCCACTGAAGCCAATGTGGTGGCACAGGTATCAGCAAATAATCTAGTTCACAGAGGTGAGATTCCTGCTTAGTTTTTACTCACCTTCTCGTTGAAGCTGATAGGAATTTGCCTGAATAAAGAGTGAGTGAGAACTGAGGATTCACCCCATAGGAATGGTACAGAAGTCTTTTGTTAAATGGTAAGAAAAAAGTGTTTCCGTGTCTGTATGTGTGATATCACAGTTTAATCCTCTAATCCTTTGGTACAAAGAGTGTTAGTCCAGGCTACTAGATTGTCCACTTCACTCTCCCACGGCTCTTCCTCTTTACTGAGGGGTCTCTTTTCACCTGCTGCTTGACTTTTTGGTACTGGACCAGGGACATCGATGGTTTGAAATATGCATAGCAGAACAGATTAATAAAGAGAAAGGAGACAACAGGTAAGTACAAATAAGTTTGCCAAAACAAGCTACAGTCACATTTTTCATTTTTAAAATGCAGATCTTAATTTGCCTGCTTTCTGGATCCATATCTCCTAGGCATATACAGAGACTGTACATACTATAAATCATGTGATACCTATATGAAAAAATGGCAGAATTGTGTGATAAACCACATTTATCATACAGCTCTGGCCTCTGAACTCTGACCACTATCCCATCTAAACTGGGACTACTTCTAACATCACAAATTGCTTTAATCAACTGCCATCGAATTAAAACCAAAACTCCAACCTATCAAATGTGGAGTTTCTCTCCCATCTTACACTGGGACTCAGGCTCAGGACAAAGCAATGTTCTGTCCTGGACCAGGAACAAGTTCTTTCTGCCATTCACACCACCACACTCATGGTATTAAAGACTGTGTCAGCAGGACTCCATTGACTCCCACATGTAACAGCTACGGTTCAGCTCTCCATTTCATCATTAAGAGCCTGCCCTGTATCTTTTACTAGTGAAAATGTGACATAATTCCTGATCCTAGACATATAGAGTCTGATTTTCCTCTCTTTTACACAGGTGAAACTTCATTCACTTCAGTGGCGTTACACCTACTTTTCACTAGAGCAAGTCAGGAGAATCAGACCTGTAAACTTGATTCTCATCTGGACCCTGATCCATTGAAGTGAATGGAAAGATTCCCATTGTCTTCAATGAGGTTTGGATCAGCTGCCTGGTCAGTTCTCACTGAAGGGTGGAAGTTCATATGCAAGTTCCATTTATGCTTTGGTCAACAGAGAATAAAAACTGCAAACAGTACAAGGGCATAGGAGATTTGAATCCAGGCATATACTGATCAACACAATTTCTGCCCTTGAACCTGATACTGCTCCATCAATGTCAACTGGAGTTTTACCCTCAACAGAAACAGGATTGGGTCCATAATGCCAACACTCTTCAGGTCTGATTCAAATGTCACATTGGTTTTAAAATACAATGGAGCTAATTCTGATTTACACCAGTGTAAGTGCAGGGCCGGTGCAACCCATAAGGCGACCTAGGCGGTCGCCTAGGGCACTAACATTTGGGGGACGGCGGACGGATCTTCGGCCGCCCCGGTCGTCGTCGGTATTTCGGGGGTGGGACCTTCCGCCACCTCTGTCGGGGGCGGCATTTTGGGGGCGGGACCTTCCGCTGCCTAGGGCGGCAAAAAAGCTGGCAGCGCTCCTGTGTAAGTGAACAGTAAATCAGGTTCTACGTACAGGTATCAGAAACATTACATTGTATGGTACTGATTCTTTACCTGGAGTTTGGTAAAGCAGGTTGTTGTCCTGTTCCACTTTCCTAATTTCTATCAGTTTCTCATCTATTGTTTGTTGCCTTTGCTTTCTGATGAGTTGAGAGACAATAGCATTGTATCTGTAAGCAGAAACAGAAGTAAATTAATGGATACTATCAAACATAAATTTGGTTAAAACTAACTTCTATAGGGCCCAAATCAACAGAACACTTAAGCATGTGCTCAACTTCAAATGTGCTTAAGCCCATTCCTAGTCAGCAAAGCACTAAGAAGCTGTAATAAATAAGAACCTGAAAGTGACACTAATTATCTATATGGTTCTGTAACTCTGGCCTTAATCCAGCAAAGCACTTAAGCACATGCATAATTTTAAACACGAAAAGTTCCACTAAACTCAATGGGATTACTTGCATAATTAAAGTTAATCATGTGCTTAAGTGCTTTGCTAGATCAGGGTCGGAGTGTTTGGCACTTTGCAGAACTAAGCCTTATAGACATATGTAAAACTGAGCTTGTCTACACTGGTCAGGTAATGGACGCTACCGGGGTGTGATTTCTAAAGCATACTAATGGGTTGTGCATTAATTAGTCCATGTAGACCTGCTGGTGTGCACTTAAGGTTCCCTGCACTTTAATAATCTGAGATGTTACTTGTGACACAAGTACAAAAACGTGAATTTCTAGCACATGGTCTGATTTTTAAGCTGACAATGTCCCTTTCAGTCTTCTCATTCAAAAAACTTGCCTGCCATTTTAAACAGGTTACATTTGGAGACAGAAAGTGCAAAGCAGTGGATTGAAAAGGTAAAGGGGAGTCCAATGGGAAGGGTGGATTAAGTGCAACTCTAAAAAGTAATTGTTTCTATTTCCTACTGGAACAGAATACACCACTGTATTCAAACCCTGCACACTATTTTGATAATCTTTGTACAAAGTATGCTTTGCAATATATCATCCGAAAACTCATAATCTGCTGGTCAGTATCGTCCTGATAAAATATGTGTGACCAGGGCTGGCTTTAGGAAGTGCGGGGCCTGATTCGAATACCCGACGGCGGTCCGGGTCTTTGGCGGCACTTCGGCAGCAGCTCCTTCACTCGCTCCAGGTCTTCCGTGGCACTGAAGGACCCACCACCAAAATGCCACTGAAGACCCGGAGCGAGTGAAGGATCCTCCGCCGAAGTGCCGCCGAAGACCCAAACCGCTGCCAGGTGAGTAAAAATTAAAAAGTTAGGTGCTCTTCTTTAGGACTCTGGGCCCTCTTAGGCGTGGGGCCCGATTCGGGGGAATCGGCCTAGTGCCGGCCCTCTGTGTGACAACATTGTAGGTGAAGTTATAAGATTCCCCTGTATGGTGTTATTAACACATGTTCCAAACACCATAGCACTGCCCAAACAGAAGTTTGCAAACAGGTCTGTCCTAAACAAAGGAATGTATGCTCTGCTTAATTTGCATTTAAGCAGCAACAGACTCATCAAGCAGGAATAGAAACAAAGAAAAACAGATGACAGATGGAAAAAAAGAGGAGGAAATATCCTTCCACATAGACTCTTTGGCTCCTGGGTCTCAACTGGAAATGTTTTTCAAGAGGGAACTGAAACTATAAAAGGAGGGACAAATACCCCGCGGCACCTCTTTCTCTTTCCCTGCCTATCGCATTCACTGTGCCTGAAGAGACACAGGAAGCAGGCATGGGACTCTGGGAAAGGGGTCCTGACCTGAGAGTTTGATCAGTAATCTGCTGAAGCATGTGGTGAGAAACTTTGCTTGAATCTAAGATAGTTTGTTAACTTAGGCATTAGTAAATGTCTTCTCTTTATTTTCCTGGTAACCATTTCTGACTTTTATGCCTCATTACTTGTACTCATTTAAAATCTCTCTGTGTAGTTAATAAATTTGTTTGACTGTTTTAGATAAAACAGTCTGATCAGGTTGAAGTTTCTGGGTAACTCCATTTGGGGTAACAAGTCGTGTGCATATTATTCCTTTACAGGAATAATGGACTCAGTATATTTGCATTGCCCAGGAGAGGGCTGGGCAGTACAAGACGTGTTTCTGGGGGGAAATCTGAGACTGGGCGTATGTTGGGACTGGTGTGCTTTAAGGCTGGTAAGAGCCAAGGTATGGCTAGCTGGCTGCATCACAAACAAAGACATAGCTGGGAGTGACTTACGTGCTGGAGGCTGTTTGTGAACCACAAAGCATTGTACAGGGCACCCCAGGTTACAGGGCAGGGGTGGCACAGCTACTCAGTCTGGATTGTACCCTGGTACGTCACACCTACACTCACGTTCTGCCTCAAGGATTCATTTACTATTGTTAACGTCTCAGACTTCTCTCCACTTTCTGTCTGCACCATTAGAATATAACTAAGTGTGTGAGAGAAGACTGTTGGAGTAATTAAATTCATAGTATGATGTACTTTATTTTCTCTTGACTGGTAGAGAATATTTGATGTATTCATACCTTCCGGAACATTTATGATCCCTTTGCAGTGGGGAAAAGGCTATAGAACGGGCTGCTGTTAATGGGACTTTTAATTTATCTTTGATCACATGAAACTGGAAGTTCAACTACATGAAAAGAACATTTGTTCAATGCATTCTCTTTCCAGCCACAAGGTGGCAAACAAGGTTTTAGCTTTTGATAAATAATATTGCACCACTGTTTTCAGGTAGGAAGAGTTAAAAAATAAAAAAAATATGTAGAAGTGTACTGGCTTTATGTACTTTTTCTTGTGAAGTAACCCAGCAGCACTGAATTTAAAAAAGGAAATGGTGCTCAGTTAGTCTACGTGGTTGGAATGCCTTTTCATGTCAGAGGAGGAAAAATACAAAAGGATCAATCTTTACACATTCATTACCACATTAAGTCACTTAACCTCTCTGGTTCCTCAGTTTCCTCATGTACAAAATGAAGGTAATGGAGTTACCTACCACACAGGGGAATTGTGCAGTTGCATTAATTAGTAAAGCACTTTGAGATCCTCAGTTGAAAGCTTGTCTCAAGTTCTTTGCTGAACGGGGGCCTATAGCTGTGTGCTGGGGAACTTCATCATTCCTTTTATTCTCATCTTCAGAAAACTTCCCTCTGACATAAAACCTGACCATTAATTTTCAAGATCCTCCAACACTCCAGGCCATTCCACATGCCCTCCAGATACTAATTCTTTACTGTTCACCCCTTTTGTCCCTGCACACTATCTTCCTTCTGCCACTATCAGAAGATTTATCCATCTGCCCTGACTCTCTGGCTGCTTTAAATGCCATTTCAAAATCCATCTCTGCTTTCTGATCTATGATTTTATAACATCACTAAAATTATAAACAACATATTGTGTACCTGGGTGTCCCTTGTGACCAACCATTCTCTCTGTATCACTGCCCTAAGGGCTGCCAACTCTCCAGGAATTCATCTGACCAAAATTGGCAACTATCTTATCTAGCAATGATGTGCCACATTCAGCTATCTGTTACTCCAGGGTAAATCATAGGCTTAGCAGAGTTAGTCCAGATTTTTACTGGTGTAACAGAGCTGAATTAGACTCAACACTAATTACGTACACACTAGTGTAGTAAATGAATGCACATAATCAGCTGTGAAATATCTTGTAATATTTTTATATGAATAGTGTTATACAAAAGCAAACTGTGTTGCAATCTACTTTATAATGGTTCATGAATGAGCTACAACTTTAATAAGAAAACGTAAACTATATTATTATATAGTCAACAATTAAGGTTGTTTCTGCATTGATGTCAGAAAATTTGCCCTCTTACTTCCCTACCCAATGCTACGAGCGAAGGACATATTGCAAGCTTTAAAGCACAAGCATGTTTTGTGAGCTGTTTGCAATTGGGGAAAGAATACTGTACGAGAGGTAACTCTGTTTGAACCTGGTTCCGGGCATTTGAACCTGCCTTTGATTAATCAAACCCAGAAGTTCAAAGACAGAAAAAAAAATCTGTTAAAAGTATATGGTCTCCTACCACCAGATGGCAGTGAGATGTGGCTATTTCAAACCAATAGATTCCCTCCTCTACCCACTCCCCCCCAAAAAAACCACACAGTAATTTCCTTTCCAGCTCTAATGAAACTAACATGAAAAATGTGCTATGCTTGACAGTGAAAAAGACAGCTTTCTGAAACAACTCCTGACTGTTAAGCCATATGCAAAAATGGACAGATGAGTTTAAAAGGACAAGTTTCTGGTTTTTCTGAATATTTTCTTGGGTCATATAGGATGCTGTGGCACTACATAATGAAACAATTATCAAACATACAAAACAAAGGAGTTCTGTTAAAGGAAATAAAACAAGGAAGTCATGTCAAAGGAAAATTAACCTTATATTCTAGAGGTTTCTTCAGAAAGAAAAATAAGCTTTTAATTTGGGTTAAGAACTTGCTGTCCTTCAAATTCAACCTGAAATTACCCGTTCATTTTCTTCCAATTCATGCTGAAGGCAAATAGGATTTGACTGGTAAAAGGGGTTCCTAACTTTTTGGCCTATTGTAAAGCTTCAGAAGTAATAAAAAGGAGTGAGAAAGTCCGGTTTGATCGGAAAGATTACAGGGCAGCACAATGACCTTGCATTTTGCTTTGCCTTTTCCTTACGAATGTGCTTGGAAACAGGGTTTCAGTCACAGGGGAACTTATTGAAAAATGTGAGTAGGCACTCAACATTTAAGGGCTTTGATCCAGATCCTCAGCTGACTTTACTTGTCTGAGCTGTGTTTGGCAGGGTGGAAGGAAGCGGTGGAGAATCTATGGGAGTCTCAGAGTGATTCGGGTGTTCAAGAGGCTCACCTTACTGCTGGTCCCTAAAAAAGCAGCATGCATCCATTCTAGTTAGGGTGACCACATGTCCTGTTTTTAAAGGGACAGTCCCGTTTTTTGGGACTTTTTCTTATATAGGGGCCTATTACCCCCCCCCCATCCCCTGTCCTGTTTTTTCACAGTTGCTATTGGTCACCCTAATTCTAGTAGAGCCCTGTCCTAGAATTTTCTTGGACATTACTAGGTAGGAATCCTACATTGCTTCTGTTCCCAATGCCCTCTACCCTCAGACCATCCACACAACACAGGGTGGGATTTGGCCCTAAACATCAAAATCAAAGACACAGTTCAGAACAATTATCAACAGTCTGGTAACATTTTGTAGGGTACAAATATGAACAGCCAGCAATTATAACAAAAGCACTACAGTTCAAATGTTGCCATTGCATATGCAAAGACCCTGGGTCTAAATGTATAGCAATTTAAGCTCAGTGGATTTAAGACACTTACGTATTCTCATCCCATTCTCCTGTTTCTTTCAGATTTTTTGCCTTCCAGCCATAGCAGTTCCCTATAAATGTTGGATCTTCAAACACTATAATGGCATAATTACAGAAAGTTACAGTTAGAGAAAAAGATGCACCAATCATCACATTCCCTAAAGAAATATTAAATATCAGAGTAGTACAAGCATATGCATCACTTGGAGAAGTTTATAGCAGAATGCTGCACTATTAAAGTCAATGAGACTTTTGCTATCAACTGCAATGGAATCAGGACCTCAACCATTAACAACTACGTATTGCTATTAATAAGGTCCCTGGGCCAGACTCTGACCTTAGTTAAAATGGGGTAAATTTGAAGTAATTCCATGAAACTCAGTGGAGTTACTCTGATAAACACTAGTGTAATTGAGAGCAAATTTTGATAGTTTGTCTTAGGTGGATGGCAACACTATATGTGCACTTTTAAAGTATTATGAATAAAACAACAAAACAGGACAAGAATTACCACTGAAATGCATGAACATAAAATGGTGATTATATGATACACATTTCTTTTGAATAGAATATATAATAAATAACAATATAAACCTGATCCTGCAGACTGAAACTCCGATAAGTAATCCCCCATAAATCCTGTTAAAGCATTGTCATGCATCCAAGTGTGCTGGTAACTTAGTTACAACAGACTTTGGTGGTGGAACATTGCATTATCATCAGAGCACTGTGTTGGCCACAGTTCACATCGGTTTTGTTTTGATCTTATCCTCCTCCCAAAACGTTTTCCTACTCATCATAATTGTATACACTTCACTAATGACTCCTTAATACGTTTTCTTCCATACAAACCCGGGTTTCCAAACTTCCTAACAAGAACTTACTTAGATTGTAAGTTCCTGGGGGCAGAGACCTTCTTTTTGTTCCATGTTTGTACATTGGACCCGCTGTGCTAGGCGGAGTCCATGACTGGGACTCCTAGGCCAATGCAATAATAAATAAGAATAAGGGCCTGATCTTCAACTGGTGTAAACTGACATAGCTCTATTAAAGTCATTGCAGCGATGTCAATTTACATCACCGGAGGATCTGACACTCATTTGTGGATGCTCAGGATACATGGCTTGATTCTGATCTCACAATCAGGAACAACTCCACTGAAGTCGAAGTTGTTACACCAGTGTAAATCCAGCAGGAGAGAAGAATCAGGTCCATTATGTTTAATTTTACTAAATCAGGCATATCATCTTACATGGGGCTTTAAAATGTTCTGCTGCTTTTGATGTGGCTATTCCTGACCACATCCTGTGGTAATCTTCAAACGAAATGGTTGTAATCCTTCTGAAAATATAAATGCATAGTAAAGTTTCTGGTGATCAGACAATTCGGTAGTAAACACAGATTTTCATGCATAACCTTCCACAAAACAACAGACTGAATTAAAAGGGTTTTAAATTATTGCTTTACTGGCTGCTCACAAATGACAGAGATATAGCGTCACTAGTGTGTAAAGCAGCCAGCTTAAACAAGAGCAAACACTAATATTTTAAAGACGTTTTAGCTATGTTTACATGTTACCAGTTTATGAGACAACCAGATGGATTATTTTCATAGTCTGCCCTCCCCGCTATCCCCTTCCAGGGATTAGTTTAGCAGAAAAGAACCAATTTTCTGATTATTTATAAAACAGATCTGGTTAAGGGAATATAGAGCTGATAGGGAAGGAATATATACCTTCTAAAATAGCTATCATACCTCACCAACAAACAACGCAGGGTAGAGTTTTTTTAAAACCCGCTTTATATGTTTTATGGCTATATCCAGGGCCGGCTCTAGGCACCAGCAAAACAAGCTGGTGCTTGGGGCGGCACATTTTTAGGGGCGGTATGGCCGGCGCCAGAATGCCGCCCCTAAAAATGTGCCCCGGCCGCCCGAGCTCACCTCCGCTGCTGCTGCCACGGCGCGCGAAACAGTTGATTCACGCGCCGCTACTCGCCCTCCCTCCCAGGCTCTCAAACCTGGGAGGGAGGGGGAGCAGCGGCGTGCGAATCAGCTGTTTCACGTGCCGCAGCGGCTCGGGGTCTCCCCCTCCCTCCCAGGCTCTCAAACGTGGGAGGAGGGGGAGACTCCGAGTGGCCGCGGCACGGGCACTGCTTCTCCCTCTCCCTCCCTCCTAGGCTTGAGAGCCTGGGGGGAGGA